CAGGTCTAAGCAACTGAGTTCATTTAGGAAACCTGTAGCAGTGAAAGCAAAGAGCAGTTACAGATTCTGGGGAGCCTTGAGGCACAGCTTGAACTTCCTCACACTTGGCTGCAGTGTGAATGAATTGCCCTTAAGAACTAAAGATTGGAAGCTCCCCTCCTTCTCCAGCAAGGGAATTTCTTCACTGGGTGAAGGGGAAAAAAATAAAAAAGAAGAGAGGGGTACAGTGCATTACACAGGCAAGTTAAATAATTCAGAAACCAGGCAAAAAGCAGGAGGCTTGGGCATTGTGATGACTCACCCATTCAGAGGCATTCAGTCTCAATGCCTCCCAGGGCAAAATGCTTTTATTCTCATTATCCACAACAACCCAGGGTGATCTGAGAAAGAACTGCAATAGAAAAAAAAAAAAAAAAAGAACAACCCCATTGCATACAAGAAGTCCTGGCACAGAACAAGGTCCTTCAAGCAGGGAGGGACAGTGAAGAACTCTCCAGGCACAGTGCTGATGGGAAGATGCTTCCACATCATCACCTTCAGATGGTGACAGATTTAACTACCTGCAGGTATCCCACCTGCCAGAGCTGAGCAGATGGGGGCTGCAGGAGGCTGATGACAGCAGTGGGAAGAACACTGTGGCCCCCATGGCCCCGTGGTTCCATGGGGATAACTAACTGTTAGACACTGAGCTGGGAACTGCTTGGAACTTCGTGACAGGCTCCAGGAGCACCACTAGAAATCAAACCCACACACAAGTTAACAGAACTGAAGAAAGAGGAAGGCAGCTCAGGATAAAGCAGAGAAATTGTAAAATAGGCTGAAGCTGAGGTGCCCCACCCCGTGGTTGTCACAGGCAGGAACTGCAGCTCAGCTGTTCAACAGCAACTCAGCCACAATTACTTGATCTTGAGTCACAGCCCTCACTCTAAGCAAGCCTGATTGAGGGCCAATACAATAAACAGTCTGCTTTCTGCATTTCAGTTCTTTTTACTCTGTTTAAGAACCAGGACTCAGCAGAGCAAGGTGTCATATAAACAGCTCCAGAACATGCTTCCCAAAGGGCCCCTGCACTGCAAGTCACAGCCAAAGCTCTGATCACAGGAAGTGGGACAAAACTTTTGCCACAAATGGTGCATTCTTGGAACAGAGGTACACAAACACATCCTAAAGCCACAAAGTCAGGCTTAGGCATTTACACTTGGAAGCTGCTTTCCCTTGGCTGTCAAAACCTAATCACCCCAGGAAATTTATCTTGCACAGACTGTATCCAGAAGGAGTGCATTGCTAAAAACAGACACACAAAAATAATTGAACCTCTTCTCCAGAAGTCCAGTCAACAGGAAAAACACTGTGGTACTTACACTGAGGATGAGATGGGATAATGACTCTGCAACCTCTCGCAGTTCCGGCTCCCATCATGTGAAAGTTGGGAAATCCCAGCTCCAAAGCCAAAAAGGGTTGGCCAGCCTTTCATCTCCCCTGGTAGTGTTATTTTTCCCAAGTGTTTTGGAGCTCTCTAAACATACAGCATTGTCCTGGCCACACTGCATTAAAGAGCAATTCCAAGCAGGCTCTTTTACTAGCCCGAGGATGTTATATGAATGTCACTATGAATAAAGCACTTCAGAATAGATTGGTCCCTGGAGGCTTCTGGAAACAACTCATGCACCAGTGTGGAAAAGGTCAGGCACAAGGCCATGCCAAAACCTATCAGAGACAGAGCCTGAAGCTTCCTTACAGAAAATTCACAGCTACACATGTCAGAGCCTTCCTGCAGAGAGGAAGGGCCACGGCAAAGCAAGCCAGGGCACTGCTGTGCCACAGCACAAGTATCAGCTCACCACTCATCATCACCCAAAACAGCCCTTCAAAGGAACCCACCAACAAGGCATGCAGGGCCAGAGAGTGCTTTGCTGCCAACCACTGCTGAAACCCTCCTGAAGTGTGACAGGTCTCCAGCAGATGGCACAGATGACACAGAGCCCCTGAACCCTAAGCTCCCTGAAGTCTCCACCAGCCTCTCTGAAGCCCTGCTAGAAACCTACTTATTTTCTACTCTGCAGCTCTAGAAGTACATGGTTTGACCAACTTGGTGCAATGGCAGCACCCAAGACTGCACTGCCACCAAGGTGCAGAGCTGAGATTTGGGCCAGCACTAGGGAACCCATCATAGGTAGATAATTTGCCTGCAGATTAGATGCCTTTATGGTAACCTTGCACTCTCTTGTCAGCAAAGCCCAGGACAGGCACTGCTGATAAGCAAGGAGATTCCCAAAGCACAGCATGGACTCAGGATGTCTGCAGAGACCCGATGAGAACAGAAAGAACTATGGTTTCTGCACTGTTACCCCCTTTTCCCAAGGTTCTGCACCCACAGGGTGAGGAACAATAGCCAAGAACTTGATTAAAGCAGACAAACACACTGGTGTAGCATCCAGACACTTCTGCTGCTAAGAGCTGTGACGCTGAGACATCTCAGGACAGTTTATATAACCGGGAAGTGATCAAAAGCTGCTTAACTGACAGCGTGGAGAAATCCCACAACGGCCTGAGGATTCCCAGCTCGAGAGAAACATCGTGTGGCAAAAATCGGGAACTGCAGCTCTTTGGAGCTTGCAGGCTGCTTCTGCTGGTCAGGAAAGGGACCGGCAACCAAGACCTGGTGGGTCAGGGTAGCAAGAAAACCACCGACTCCCTTCCTGTCTGGTCATCTTAAACTCACCGTAGAGATCAGGTCCGTGAGAGGTGAAGACGTTGTATAAAACAATGTTGAGAGGTGCAACCACCAGCTTCCCATAATGATAGCTATCCACAACCACCAAGGGCACCTGGAAGAAAGCATCTCTTATTTACAGTGCCAGAAGCTTTTGGCTAGACTGCCCATATGACTTGGACTGCCCATGGAATTCACCCTTCCTATTGCCAGCCTGATCCATTCCCTCTTTGCCTTGTTAGAGGCTCTTACCAAGAACAAGATCAGGGACACCACACACCAGTTCAGGAAGCTTTTCCACCTCTGCTTCAGTATCAAGAAGTCAAAGGCAATAGGGAGCCTGGAAGAGAGACCAGATATCAGCCAGGGACTTTGTCTTTCCCCACTGCAGGTTTTCCTGCTGCTTCAAAGCAAGGGAGGGTGCAGCTGGAAGGGAAGCACCACTGCCCTGGCTCTGCTTCAGCTCCATATCCCAGTCACCTAACTCAGGTCTTACTCTCAGTATATTAGAGTCAGGAAATCTCCCAAACCAACGTTCTTCAAAAGCCAAGGACTCAGGCTATGGAAGCCTGTAGCAATGATCCTGGACTAGGCTGGCAGCTTGGTCCCTGCTAGTTTCTTCCTCCAGCTCTCCAGCCCCTATGTTACCCCCCAACCAGACAAGAAAAATCCAACAAAGTGCAACCCCCTTGAGCCCTCCTCTCCTTACCCAAGAGCTGCACTGAAGGGCCAGCCCAGCAGGGCTCCAGCAGCCACCCCCAGCACTGCTACAGAGGTTTTGTCCATATACCAGCCAGTCATGGCAACCACTGTGGTGTACATGCAGAAGCTGCTTGGGAGGAAAGCTGCAACAGAAGGAAAGAAAGGGGTGAGCACAGCTTCCCCACAGCATAACTGCACCAGACAAAGATGGGCTAATCGTCTTTCCTTCATTCCATTACAAACAGGAGTGGGGAATGAGGAGGCCTCATTGGCAATGCCAAAACATGACCCTCCTTCCCTGGATTAAAAGATGTTCCAGGAAGGTAGGCCAAGACCCTGTTTAAAAGGCATGGGCCGTTGCAGAGAGACTGGAGGCAGCAACAGAAGCAAACATGCCCTGGAAGCAGAAAGATACATGACAGTGATGCAGGGAACATCACTTGAACCAACATTTATTCTGTCATCACACCTGTCATGAGAGACACCTGCAACAGGATACAACAAACAACTGCTAGAGAGGTATTTTAGGTCTGTGGATTCTCTTCTCTCTGAACCTGACTTCGGTTTCTATGGACAAAGTGCTTGTTAGTGTCATTGCTAAGCAAACTTACCTGCAGATGAGCAAAACATCCCCGTGCTGAGCACTAAGAAGGCCAACATCAGCCGGCTGACATGTAGCCCAAACTTCTTGCACACAGCCCTAAATCAGAGACCATAGAAATATCCTCAGGACATAAAAGAACTGGGATTTCAGATCCTCATGAAGTTACACTAGTGCAAAACTTGAGACTTGGCTTCTACCAGTGTGAGAAGTGCCCGTGCAGATCTCAGGAATGCAGGGAGTCTGCACTGCTGTAGCAACATCAGCCTAAGCTTTTCACCCCTCCCAAAACCCCTCATGCAAAAAGCCACAGCTCACACTGTTGAAGCCAGACTGCTGTCAACAGCCAGGCAAGGTCATAGTTTGAAAGCCACAAATGAAGAGGCAGCAGGTACAAATAAAAATCCAGCTTTGACAAGGTAATTGTATGTTCAGGCTACTGCTCTTGGGAGATGTAAACACCACTGGCAGATACAGGACAGACAGCAACAATCAGGGTGTCCCACTGAAATTCACTATGATAAGCAGGCACAGCACCAAGCTCTCCTCCAGCAGAGCTCAGTTCATAACACTCCCACCCTTCCTGCTGCTCTCAGTGAGAAAATGAGTGTAAGGCAACAAAAGGCTGCAGTGGAGATCTGGGTGGCAGATCTGGGAACACATCTTTGTCCCAGCAGCAGAATTCTGACCAGTACTTCATTAAGTCATCATTAAAACACACATTTCCAAGGTTCACTGTAAAGCAGCCCCATTTACCAGACACATCTTCTACACATGAGATTCAGAGTGTATTTCCTGTGGCAATAATGGAATATGTTACTCCAAAACATTCACCATAGAGAGCTTCTGACACTCACTTGTAGAAGTAGAGCTCACAAATGCAGCTCAGGAAGGCCAGGAAGCATCGGAGGAAATAGAAGATAAGAACCTAGGAGACACACTCGAGAGTATTAACAAGGTCTGCAATGAAGCTTGTGCACCTATTACTAACAAATGGGTCCCAAGAACATCTGAACAGGATGGAGCGAGTTTGGCAGTGGTGAAGGAGCCTATTCTTGTAGACCCAGATCCCACACCAAGGGATGATGGAGATCCCAGCAGTCCCAGGACTAGCCCTCTAACACAAGAAAGTGAATACACGTCACTGAACTGGCCACAACTGTCCCCCTTTTGTTGTCTGTTGTGCAGAAACACACCAAGCCTGGCAGTCAGAATGCACATGCAGTGCTTTTTCTTTCACCCTTCTGCCAGTTCAGTTTGCAACATCCCTTGCCAAATAGTAATCTGGTTTTTACAGTTTATTGTCAATCAATCAATCTAAATGGTCACTGGCTTAGAAAACAATATGGGCTTCCAAAGCACCAGAGTGAAACTTACCAGGGTGAATGGGTAACTGTCCTGAATGTTTGTAAACAGAGCAGTTGTTTTGTAAGTACTACTTCTGCTTCTGACAACAAACAAAGCAGCTCTTGAACACCAAACAAAGGCAACGTTTCTTGATCAGAAAAGAAGCTTTTCCACATCTGTTTTACCTTGTTAGTTTGTAGAACTCTAGCGTGGAACAAGGCTGGTAAGGCATGAAGCCAGAGGTAAGCATAGGAGCGAATGGCATAGGCTGGGGAGTATTCCCACGTCTGGAACCCCTTTCCATAAACCAGGTAGTGTGTCTGCAGTGGAGATCAAATAAATAAAAACACATGCATCACAAGGAGCAGGCAGTTTTGCACTTCTCACCTCTGAACTCTTGCATGAGAACGTTTATTCCTGAAACACAGAGATCAGCACAAGGCTCTGGGTAAAGCTGCACTTGCACAGGCCAACTGCAAATTCCCAAGGACCTCCAAGGAGAGAAAGCCACTTACTGGTTCCCAGTAGTTAAACGTCTCATCACAATCAGAGATGTTGCTTAAGAGAGCTGCACAGAACCTGGCTGAGATGAGACACTTGAAAGCTGTTGATCCTTCAGGGGCCCAGACTTGTCCTGATTTGCTCCCAGACGATCTAGTCCAAAGAAAAAAAAAGTACAAATATGCACCAAGAAGGAGACCAAGACTCACAGTGTGACACCAACCAAAGCAGATCCACAACCCTGCCCCTTGGGCACTGGGTGAAGTGGAGGGGGAGTCTTTAATTAAGCCTCTTTCTTGGGGGGATGCCAGTCCCCTCCCACCATCACCCCTTCTCACCCTAACGGAGCATCGACCCTCCAGGGCCTCCCCATAACAACTGGGGGCAAAGTTGTGGGGTTTTTGTGGGGGAGAGGACAGAGCATCCCCCACACAAAGCCAGGGGGGCAAAGTTGTGGGGTTTTACGTGGGGGGGAGGACAGAGCATCCCCCACACAAGGCCTGGGGGGCAAGGCTGTGGGGTTTTATGTGGGGGGAGGACAGAGCTTCCCCCACACAAGACAACTGGG